TGTGGTCCAGTGGGCCGCACCTCAATGAGCAGATGGAAACCAAGGGCTAGAGAGAGGAGGGGCTTTCATTAAAGTCACTTGGTGGGGTTAGGATGGACCCTGGAGAGCTGTCTAGCCTGAGGGGCAGTCCCTGGAGTAGGAAGCTTATCTCATTCATCATAGGGTCTATTTCCCCTAGCTAAACTATAGGTCCCCAAGCACTTCACACATCACAGATTCCTTTCCCAGCCAGTTGTCACATTTGACCCCTTTGGATCAACATCCCCTTTGGGAACTGACCAACTGGACTTAGCAGGAGCAGGACATGTCCAAGGTCACATGAGTTCATGGCAGAACTGGAGTCTGAACCAGAGCTGAAAAGCCCATGCTTTTTCCTCTTAATCAGTATTTCTCAAGTTGCTATCTGGGGATATATTTGTGGTTATTAAGTTCTCCCTAAGAACTTTTAAATTGTTTGCTTTCATTTTGGTGATAACCTTAAGAAACTAATTCAAATTTGTATGACCACAGGTGAATCCTACCTGAGGTTGTATTTGGACTTGGCATCACACTGGCACAAATAACATTTAGTGAGAACTAACTATTGGCCAGGCACTGTGCTTTATACTTGTCATGTATTAGTCATGTGACTCTCACAACAACCCTATAAGACAGGTACTAATACATCCCCATTTCACAGATCAGGGAGTTGAAGCTCAGAGAGGTTAAGTAACTTGCAACAAGATCAACAGCAAAGAGATGTAGCCAAGGTTTGAACTCAGGCTGACTCTGGAGCTTGTGATCTTCCCTGCGATATTGTAACCAGCTCTGGATGATGAGAAAAGGACAGAAATGACCTTGATATGCAAAAATGAATTCCTGCTATGTGAACACCAACTGATGGAGAGGAGAGCGTGGGGAGGAATTTCGCCATGGGTAAAGCACAGCCAAGTGGTGGGAGAGTAAAGTCGTCACATGGACTTGGGTGGAAGCCTGTGATACACCCAACAGAAGCACAGCAAGGGACAGGAGGCGTGCAGTTGGGTGCCCCACATCCACTCTGCCAGTGCCAGGTTAGGTTGAGCAAAGCAATTCCGCCCATATAATTTATTTAATGTTGTTACAATGATGCTCTGGCAGTATAACTCGGGGGGTGGGGCGTGGTCTCCGGGGTCATGATTTCTGATTCTAATCCATCTTCCTCTTGGCCTAGACTTGGAAGGTCACTCAGCTTCTCTGAGTCTCAGTTTTCTTATCTCTCTAATGAAATTATGACAGCACTTGAAAAACTGTTAGCACTGCCTGCAATTTCTTCCTCTCCTTTGACTTTATTGACTCATCCCTGATTTTATTCTGGTGGTAATGTTCCCAGGTATAAGACATACTCTGTCTCTCTTCACTGCTGGGGGCCAAGCAGAAGTTGTTAGGTGAGTATGCTGGGAAATATCCTTAGAAGACGCCGATGCAGATGGAAGGAAAGTCAATTTGACCTTCTTTCTCTTTCTTCCTACTTGGGACTCAGGCATTATGGCTGAAGGCCCAGTAGCCATCTTGGATCAAGATGTCCTTGGGGCCTCCCTGATGGCCTAGGGGTTAGTTAAGTCTCAGCGCTATCACCACTATGGCCTGAGTTGGATCCCTGGCCTAGCAAGGAGCTACCCACATGGCGCTGCAGACCCCACCTGTCTCTCCCTCTGCTCCCCTCAGCAGTGTGTTTCAATAGATCTGCCTGTTCTGCTCCTTACTGTGTCTCTGATGAATCCTCTCCCCCACTACCCTGTACCTCTGGTCTACACCCCAGTTCTTTTTTGCAAAAAGGGAAAAACAGTGACCTTGGTTATGAAGCCATGTAGTAAGGGTGAAGCAACATGAAGCGAGAGGGAACCTAAAACGTTGAAGACACCTGGGCTCTTCCCAGTCCCCCAGTGTTGCCTTAAATATAGAGAGAAAAGCAGCCCTTCCAGCCAGGAACTGGCCTGGTGAGTATCTGCTGGGTCTGGGGGTTGCTGGAATTGGCCTGATGCAGGATGCAGCTGATGTCTGCTGAGCATATACACCAGTGTTGGCCAAGGTGCTCTGTGAGTGATGAGCCGAGACCAACCCAAGACCACTGAGCACAGAACACGGCATGTCCACGCCATGAAAATGACCAGAGCAAGGCAGAGTTCAAAGAGGAAACAGGGAAGCAGGCATGCCTCATCCACAACGCTGCACGTACCAGAAGCCTGACTCTGGGTGGCTTGCGTAGAAAGGAAATTTGTTATCTACAGATAATCAGGGTCGGGCAACTCAGCACCTGGGTGACGTCATTACACCCCCAGGCTCTTTCTGAGCCGTCACCCACCTTGTCAGGTTGGTCCCAAGCGTGGGTCCCTCATGCTTTTGGCCACCCCCTCTGATTAGCTGGAGAGAAAACCCTTCTATATGCCCAAATCCTGTGCTCTAGCATGAGCGAACTAGTTAGTCTTGTGACCAGCCCCGTAGCATGGCCAGGGAGTATCATGAGTTGGCTGGCTGGCAGCAGTTTGGGCTCCTGAACTGATCGGTGCCCAGGAGATGGGCTTATGGGGAATCCCTCGGACTAAGGGGCCCAGCTGCGCTGCAACCGTGTCAGGAGGCTGAAGGAGGGAGTAAGTGTCCCTGTGTGTGGGAGCTGCTCTGATGTGGGGGCTCAGCCAGTGTCGACCCAGTTAGTGACCCCCTTGCAAGGGTAGCACTCGAGCTGAGTTCAAGGGGGCAGGTGAAGGCTGAGGGAAGAGGTCTTAGCCAGCCAGGGGACTTCTGAGCTCCCATAACCCTCCCCTCTCTCCCCAGATTAGAACCAACAAGCATGGCCTGTTCCTGCCCCTCCTCTCCCCAGGGCACAGAGGCGAGCCCAAGGAAGCTGACAAGGCAGAAAGCGAAGTCCTTCTCCAAAAACAATTAGGGGTGGCAGGTCTGTTGCCTCATCTTCTGCAGCCAGGACAGGTAGGCAGGAAGTCAGACGCAGGAAGGAAGGCTCCGTCCCTGCCTGGGAGGGTCCTGTGGGGACAGTGGGCCTATATCTCCCTGGCTGATTTCGAGCACTGGCCAGCTTGAACTCGGGGCCAGCTCATGTATGTATTTATTTTCCTTTAACCTTGGTGACAGGGAATAGAAGATCCAGGTACACATGGGCTCGAGCAGGTGATTTAGCTCCCAGTGCACAGTCACTTCTGCACATGACTTCACTTCCCTGAGCTTCTGTTTTTGCACCTTAAGGTGGGGGAGAGGATAACAGCACCTCTTCCACGGGGTTGTGGTGGGCCTTGCACAGACATTCTAAGGGATGTTCTTTGTGACGACCAATAGAAATAATGGGAGGTCACGTCACAGGGAGCTCATTCTGTGCCCGTGCCTGTCCCGGGTGACTTACAGCTTACTGAGCCTCACGGGAAGTTTGCTGGCTCCGTTGTTACCCTACTAAGGGCAGAGTGGGACCTGGATTGCTCTCTCAGGACTGAGGCTAAGCCTGTAAACCATGTGGCTTTAGAGAGGACCACTGCATGCTGGGCCCTGCATTCTGTGCCATAGGGAAACAAAGGTTTAGTGGAAACGGGTAATTCTTCCAGAATAACTGGTGGGCATCTGGGGCTCCTTCTTCAGAAGATATGAGTCAGGTCTAAAGCCTCTGAATCCCTCTGAACCCCAGAGCAGAGGTGGAGCTGGAGAAGGACTGGACGAGGTCATGAGGAGCCCTGGTTGCAGGCTGAGAGCAGGGTACCAGTGAGTCGCTGAAGGCTCCAGGCAGGGGGGGTGACATGACTGCAGGCCAGGAGGGAGTGAAATAGATGGGGACCTATCTATCTGAGGGGATCTTCCAGGCTAAAGATGAGGCTGGGGTGAGAGGAAAGGTGCTGGAGGAACAAACTACTGTTGTTTCCCTTCCTGCTAGTTGGGAAGTGGCATCTTTGGGTGCAGCACTCTGGCCCCAGAGAGGGCTGCTTGGTAGAGGATGGTAGCCCAGCCAGCTTATCAGCCAAGAACCGATCAGCCCCAGACTCACATGGAAGAGGAATATTTAACCTGCTGAGTTTTGGGGGGCTGTACCCTAACTTATTGTGATCTCAGGCAAGGCACTTGGCTTCTCTGAGCCTGTTTCCACAACTGTAAAATAGGAGCAATGACGGCATCAGCCAGGAGCCAGAGAGGGTGCATGGAATGAGCAGGGAGGCAGCGCACCACCAGTGCCTACTGCCCACCCAGGGCACACTCCTAGTTCCCCATTTAGTCTGAGGGCATGTCCCTCATTCTCTCTTCCTCCTTCTGACTCCCCAGTGCTACCCAGCTGGGGCAGTGGACATAATAGGCTCTTGACCCAGACTTATACAATAACAAAATCTGGATGACTTTCAGACAGGGGTGATCCCTTGCTTCCCTTTTACAGCTTGGAAAACTGAGGTCTAGAGAGGGGCAGGGATTGTTCCAGCTCCACAGAGACTCAGCCAGGGTGAGGCTGGATCCCATCTTTGGCCGGCGTGGGGTGGGGAGACCATCTCTGACATAGGTGCACAGAGGGGACACCCACCTCCATCCTCTTGCTCACTGTGTTCCAGTCGCTCTAGCTTCCTGTGGTTCCCCATGACAACCCCAGGGCCTTTGCACTTGCTATCTCTTTAAGTGGGTTTATGCTTCCCACAGTTCCATGGCTGCCTTCTTACCTTATTAATCCTCAACTTAAGTATCACCTCTTCAGAGAGGCTTCCCCTCATCACCCTAGGTTGGACTCTCTGTAATCTTTATCTCTACTTCCTGTTTTTCTTTTTCATTTGTAATATATTGACATGCTAATTCAGTTTTTCAAAAATTGTTTTAAAAACTTGCTTTTGGCCAGTCTCTCCCTGTAGCCTGCTAAGCTCTTTGGGCATCTGTCTTGTTTCTTCCCCCCCCCCCCCATGGCCCTATCAGGCCTTGGCCAGGCAGGTAGGTCCTCAATACATGGTTGCTATATGAATGAATGAATGAATGAATGAATTTAGGACTAACAAATGCATAAATGAGTGTGCCAGGCTTGGATGTGCTCATCACATTGACCTCTACGACTTCCCTGTGAGCTATACCTAGCTTTTCCACTATGCAGGTCCATAAAGGAAGGCTAAGAGAGGTCTCACAGCAGCGGGCAAGAAAGCGGCAGATGTTAAAGGCCAGGGGACCTCCCTGCCCTCAGAACACCAAGAACCTCTGCTGTGCCATCTCACTTGAATCCAATACAAGGAACACATCTGTGCTGGATGTGCCCTGGACCAGGCCTCATTCTCAAAAGATGCTGATGCTGGTGTTGCCAGGGTAACACCCTTAGCTTTTGAAGCATCTTTAAAAGGGAGAAATGAATGACCACAGAGACAGGGAGGGGAGGAAAATCTGGAAAAGGTGGTCAAAGCCCCAGCTACTGAGACAAACTATCCTGCAGCTGCCTTCCCTGCCCCCAGCTTCCTGTAAAGGGCCGTCTTCCACCACGGCCATGGGTGTGCACAGTGGACTCTCCTCTGGTGTGGACATCATCTTTCTGGGAGCACGCAGATTCCTTAGGAACATTGTATCCTGCCCATCTGCCTCCATCGGGGCCTACCAGGTGCCATTGGGAAAGACTGGTCTTGAGAGCTTTCCAGAAAGTTCTTTCAGATCTAGGCAGGCAGAAGGGACACCATCACACCAGCATTTTTATGTTAGATGCCAAAATATCTCCAGACAGCTCTGGACTAGGGAGGCAGCTCATAAATACAAGTGCGGTGGAGGTGGTGGTTGGCAATGCTGCCTTGGATCAAACCCTTTACTTTTCTGAGTTTTAATTTCTTTATCAGTAAAATGGGGAGAATGCTGATCTGAGGCAGGAAGAAGTGATAGATTCTGCATAGAAACCTGCAGGTGCAGATTTCCAGAAGCCAGTTCCTGCATCCTGTGGTCCCCAGGAGATCCAGCTAGGGCCGAGGCAGTGCAAAAATAAAAGCTGTGGATGCAAAGTTAAGGTGCTTAACTTATCTGGTCCAGGAGAAGGAATGGTGACAAGTGTTAGGGGCAGATTTCCTCTCCCCATTCATTCACCTCTTTGAGAACTAACATTTATTAGGTACCTGCTTCATGCCAGGCTGTGGTAAGAAGTTTACGTACACGGTCTTGTCCCCTCTTCACTGCAATCCAGTGAGAAGTATCATGAATCCATTTCACAGATAAGACAACTGAGACCTCAAGTCCGAGGTGAAGCATGTCTGCCCATCCCCAAGACCCTGCCCCTGGCACCACACGGTGCATGGTAGATGCTAAAGAAAGGCCCACTGAGCAATGCTGTGGAAGGTCATGGAAGCCCTCAGAACATCGACATGCCCCCATGTAATTTTCTCCCTGCTTGAAATGCCACCATTAGCCACCACCTTTGCTTCCAGGAGATCAGCATTAATTCACACTTTTGTCAGGGCATTAGCTGGAGGGGGATGCAGGGGCTGCAGCAAAGTCAAGTGGGAAGAAGAGGTTCCATTTTCACCATTCCGGGCTCAGGTGGGGCAAAACTTTCTGAAGACAGGAGCACATCTTCGTGGTAGGGCAGGTGGATCCTGGCCTGCGTGTTGGCTGATGATGACTTGGCTGTGGTGGTCTCCTCAGGGCTGAGGCAGGTGACAGGGTGGCTGAGGTTCATCTCTTACCCTGTCCTCTGCAAGAGGCTCACAAGAAGCCTTTGGTCTCCCAAGCCTAGGCAAAGGCCCAGTGCCCCCCCAACCTCCAACCTGCCCCCAGCTGCAGCATCACTGTTGGATGAGGCAGGAGGATAAGTTGGGTTTCTGGCTTGGAGGCAGAGAGGATCTAGACCAGGGATGGATGTCCTGCCCACGGCAGAGCAGACAGTCCCCAGAAGGCCCTGAATGTGAGTTGGGGTTACATGGAGCACTTGGGGCAGCCCCAGGCAGAAACTTGGCTTCCTAGGACCAAAGGAACATTGGAGGACCCGGCCCCTAGCACAGAGGGGAAACTGAGTCCTAGACCCTTCTTCAGGCATGTGTGTCTACTTTAACCAAAGTTTCCTTCCAGTTGTTTTTAGAGGGTAAGACTGTCACTGGGGCCTTTTTAGTCAAAACGGTGAGTGCAGCTGGAAGAGGGGTGGTGGGTCTTGGGCGTACCTCCTCATGAAATATGAGCACCAGCTTTTTCCATGGGCATCCACAGTCCCCAGAGATGCTCTGGGACAAACAAGACCCATTTTCAAACATGTACATTTGGAGAAAGCTCCCACTTTAGCCCCTTCACAGGCAGTCACGAGGCACATGACCACATTAAAGGCTCTGACAAGTCCCACGCTAAGAATGCCTGCTCGTATGGATTTAACCCGGTGTTACCTCTCTTACTTGACCAGAGGTACTTTTCAAGGGGAGCCCTCTCCAATATCTGGAAGCCCTGGGAGATAAGATCTGAGCTCTAGACATGGAGGCCCCAGAGTGGTGGGCAGTGTGTGGTGGAAATAATTATTCCCACTGTGGGGTGGATGCAACCTCGTTGGCCTTGAACAGAAAGTTCAAGGACGTCCAAGGTTGAGAAAACTTGGAGCAAGAGACAACCCTTTCACCCACCCTGCTATAGAATCTGGGTCAGTATCTGAACAGTTGCCAGTTTGGAAATACCTTCCCACCTGCCAGACATTCTACTGCTAGTCACGAATTCCTTTGAGGAGCCAAGATAAGTCTGTTCTCAGCACATTCAGGATGTTGCAACTCTCAAGCTGGCAGGGGCTCCCTGCAGGAGACCAGATGGAAGAGGAGTCTTGCAGAGGCAGGAACCCCCAAATGCCCTCAATTTCACCACTTGAGGGGACTAGGGAAGCAGCCAACTCTCCTTGACTCCTGGGGCGAAGAGGGCTGGCCCAGAGCCCTGGGTGTCCAGGACAAGGCCACAGCACTGTGTCCAGCATGTGGGTCCAGGTTATCCCGGCTCCTGTGGGTCCAGCCTCTGGCACTGCTGCTCCTCAGATGCCCACGGGCCGCACCATCATGCGGGTGGCGCGCAGCGAGTAGCTGGGGCCCTGGAAATAGTGCCAGCGGATGCCGTTGAGCTTGCGCACATGGTGCCGGGCCGGGTAGTAGATGCCGTTGAGGTTTGAGAGGCCGCAGGCGTCAAACCACCACCCTGGTGGAGGGGGAGGAAGGGAAGAGATTCTGGGGAGTAGGGGCCCAGCCCTGGGTGAGGGCAGCCCCCTAGCGCAAAGACTAATCAGGACTATGATCGCCTCCGGGAGTGGGCTTGAGGGTGGGGCAGTCTCCCACGCCCTCTGGTCAGCCTGGGGCCTCTGGAGGCAGCACTGGGCTCCCGCTACCCCTCCTAGACCTCTGCTCCTCACTTCTCCCCAACATCCTGGTCCTGATCTCCCCCAACCCCTCTGCCTCCCCAGTTCCATCCATCAGCCTTGGTTACAGTCTCACTTGCTGAGACTTTGTCCTCACTCTGCCTCTGCCTCTTTCTCTGGTGGTCTCGGGGCTGATGTTGCTCTCTCGCAAATTGTGCTTATTTCTCTGATAGTCCGTGTCTCTGGCTGCCCCGTCTTTCTGGGTGTCTCTGTATCTCATGTACTGTGTCCATCGTCCTTCTGTGGCCTACATCTCTGCCTCTGTCCTCATGTCCTGCTATAGCCATCTCCATTTGCCCCTGATAGGTCCCTCCTATCTTTGTGCCTCCACTCTGTCTCTGACCCACCTCACCCCCCAGTTTCTGATCTCTGTACTCCCCAAAGGCCACTGCTTGAGCCAAAAGTGGTGAGGAACTGCCCTTGTGTCCCCCTGCGCAAGTCTGGACCTGCTTGGGGAACTCTTGGGCCTGGATTGGGACTGATGGGGCACTGTGCCTTCCTTGTGCCACCCCGGAGAGCCTACCCTCAGAAAACTGGTGGTGCCAGGTTTAGGAGGAAGTGTGACCATGGGGGCAGAGGGTATCGATGGGGCATAGGCAGGCCAGCCTGAGGGTAGGTGACACCCTGACCTGTGTCCACTTCCTGACAGCACCCTGTTGCACAGGACTTGGGTGGGAGGGAGAGGGGGAAGCCTGCAGCATGTGGGCTTCACCCCTTCTGCACCTACCTCCAGACAGCATCTGGGCACACTTGCAGAGGCAGTTGTCATTGTCCGCGTCACGGGTGCTGAAGTTGGTGCCCTGCAGGACCAGGCTGCTCTGGCGTCCTGCTGAGCCGCTGTACCCACTCAGAGAAAGCCTAGAGGCCATCCGGAAGGGGTAATGCGAGAGGGGATCAGAGTCAGCATGGAGCTGATTGAGAAGGGGCCTTCCAGGAGGTGTTGTCCAAGGCTGGGTCTTCCCTCCGATTGCCCTGGGAGGGAGAGCCCTGCCCTGGGGTGCCTAGGCTGCCCCCCCATTCCTGGATAGTCCTCCCTGCCTGCTGCCTCCCAGGAACAGATTACCCACTGTGTGCTGGACCTTCCTCATCTCATGGATCTGAGTCTTGGATGGGATTGAACATGATAATGATAATAATAATGAGGATAATAGCTAACTTTTTTTGACCATCTAGTATGTGCCAGGCACTGGTCAAAGTGTTTTACATGGATTAACTAATTTAATCCTCCCAACACCCTATTATTCCCATTTTCCAGATGGGAAATGGAGATCCCAAGGTCTCAGAAGGGAGGAGATGACTGCCAGATCCCAGCCTAGTGTGGCCTGATGTGGCAGGATGTGGCCAGAGCAGAGCAGTGTGGGCACATGGGAAATGCTCAGCTTAGTGCAAGCTGTTATTCCTGTTCCCAGCTCTGGGCACATGGCTGGCACCGTAGAGCCTGGCTGGAGTCTGTGTTGGGTGATTGTAGCAGGAGAGGGGACTTACTGGAAATTGAGGGGCCAGTGGGGCTGGTTTAGGAGCAATTAAGTTCCAATGGGCAAAGGTAAGTGGGGCCTAGATGTGGCTGGGGCAGCTCATGGAGCACTAGTTCCCCCAGGGCAGGGCCTGGACCTGTGGGGCCTGGGCATGTGGCCTGGTCAGTTCCTGCATCTCCCACCATGGGCTCCTCCTCTTGTGGTGAGGCAGGGGCATGGCCTGCAGGGTCCAAATAGCTATGGCCAGCCATGAAGCCTTAGCTGTGCCCTTGAACATGTGACCCTGGGCTGTCATGCTGAGTGTTGCAAACCCACCCCACTCCACCCCTAGCCCCCCATCCCTCACCAAAAGGTCCATTTGACCAGGGGCTCCCAAGGGTGGGATAGGCAGGCTGCCCTTCCCCCACTCCTGGCTAATCTTGATGGCCACAGTGGGCTCTCCTTGAAGTCTCAGTGATATCCGTTCAAGGCCAGATTAGGGGCCAGGGCTGAGCTTTGGTGTCACAGTCTGGGATGGGACAAAGCTGATTCGATCTCATGGGGTTACTCCTGCAACACTGGTCCCTCCACTGCCCCCAAATCCTCAGCTCAGGTTCTGCCTCTTTTCCCCACCCCTCTCTGTGAGGCAGAATGGGGATCTGTGACTTCTGTGCAGTGCTGAAGTCATGCACCAGGAAACCCACTTGTCTCACTGTTCAGATGCACATTGAACAAGTTTATGGCTCAGGCCTGCGGAACCCAAACACACAAGTCTCTGGAGATTTTCAAGTTAGGCAGACAAGGTGTTTTCCACGTGTCTGTGCATATGTGTGTGAGTCTGTATGCATGTAGTTGTGAGCATTTGGACAAGAGTCTTTGTGCCTGTGTGTGTGCTTGAGTTCATGCTGGAATATCTATTGTGAGTCTAGGTGTGTGCTCTAGGTGTGTGAATTTTATTATAACCAGATACTTCTGATATTTTTTCCTCAAAAAAAAAAAAAATAGTATATCTTGGACTTAGAGCCACAGATATTGTTGCTCAAGAGTTGGGTGAAGTAGATGAGGCTGAACTGCCATGTGAGTAGGGGAGACTTGAGAGGCTCCCCCAGCTTCCTGTTATGTGTTTACCTTGTGCCAGGCCCGGGTACAGGAACAGCAAGAAACAAGGCAGTTCTGGAGCCTGCTCACACGCAGGCCAGCCGCACGCGAAGGGCTGCCTTGGGGACAGCGATTACACAGTCATGCACAACATAACTATGCTTTGGCATGGCGGCTGCATAAGTAATGGTGGCCTCCGAATTCCTATTGCCTAGTGATTTCATCACCATTGTGAGGCTGTGGGTTTTACGTCAGCAGTGGCTGCCTACATCTCTGACATTTGCTCAACAATGAAATTGCCCAAGGACACATTTTTTCTGAGCGTGTCCCCACTGTTAAGTGACACATGACTGCTATTTACTGGGTGCTCAGTAGGTGTGGGCTGTGCTCATGCTTTGAGTGCAGCATCTCATTTGAGCTTCCTAACACTGCGAATGAGGCAGGGGCCCCTGTAGCACCCATTTTACTGGTGAGAAGGTGGAGGGACTTGCTCGGGGTCACTCAGGGAGAGGTGGGTGGGTCAGGATATGAGCCTTGACTTTGGTGGTCAGTGGCTTAAATAGGACTCAGCAGGGTGTTGTGGCCATTCACGGGTCAGCTTGAGAAGGGGGCTATCCAGCTCAGCCCTAGCAGGACTCAGCCCAGGCAATACTTCATTCAGCTTTGGACCTTGCACTTTAAGGAGGAATATTATCAGATTGGGGTGGGTCCCATAAGGAGATGTCAGAACAACCTAGCTGGAGGAACCACAGGCATTTAATAAGGTATTTCATAGAAGATTTAAGGCTTTTCACCTTGGAGTGTTGTGAAAAGCTCCCAGAGGTAGAATTAGGCAGACAGTGCTAGGGACAGAATGACACCAGAGATTCCTTGTGGGGAAGAGACCACCCCATCATTGGATGCAACCAGCATGCCTGGAGGATTGTGTCTGTGAGAGGATCATAGCATGTGACATGTGAAATCCTTTACACCATGTGTTTTGGTAGCAGGGAGAGCTGAGTTTAAATCCAGGATCTACCTAACTTGTAACTTTGGGCAGGGGTTTTAAGCTCTGTTGCCCCAGTTTCCATATTACTAAAGTAGGTAGAGCTATCCTCACCTTGGAGTGTCATGGGGAGAATTAAATGGAGTAATGTGCCTGGAACATAGTAGGTGCTCAATAAATGCTCATGCTGAGAGATTTGGATGATTTTACAATACACTCATATTTAAGAACAGAGGGAAAGAGAAACCAGAACCTTGGCTCACCCAGGTTCAGAAAGTGAGCTGGGGCAGAACCAGAACAAGCCCAGGTCCCCAATTACCAGCCCAGAGACCTTTCCACCTCAGCTTCCCTGCCCCCTAGCATATAATAGACTGGGAAAGTCACCTCCCCCTTCTGGGTTTCTGTCAAATGACTGACTCTGGGTGACTGACCTTGGAAGGCCCCTTCTCCCTCCCAGATGGCAGCGTCAGCAACATTCTCTCTACCCCACCCAGTGTGGGGATGTGTTGAGTGCTAACCAGCCGCCTCCAGGTCCCATGACGTATGCTCAAATGGGGGACAGATGGTAGCAACAGGAGACGCCCAGGGACTGACCCTTGCTGCAGACTCTGCAACCACTATCCCGGGGCCCCCAGCCCGCCCATTAGCCTGGGCCCCAAACCCACCTGTATAACTGCCCCTCGCTGCCCAGCTGGAAGTGCTCATACTGGGCGTAGGCCTCGTTGCCTTCCCAGTCTTGCAGCTCCACGCGCAGAGAGTAGGCTGCCCTGCTGGTGAGCTGGTGTACCACCTCATTGCCCAGCCAGTGCTCCCCAGCCGGGTCGCCGAAGCCCTATGGGGCGGGGAGAGTGGGAGTGGGCTGCTTGCCGAGGAGGGAGGCTATGCCCCTACTGAGGAACTGGACTGGGTCAGGCTCCAGGATCACTTATCCAAACCTCTTTGCCTAACAATCAAATCCATAAAGTGCAGTGTGGGCAGGCCTGGGGGTGGGACACTCCCTCTTCTAGAACAAAAAGACTAAGACTTTTGTGAATGTAAATGCCTGTTAAATATAATTGAAATCAGGGCTTCCCTGGTGGTGCAAGGGTTTAAGTCACAGCACTATGAAGCTATCCACAGCCACTGCAGCATGGCATGAGTTTGATCCCCGGCTGGCCAGGCAGCTACCCACATGGCGCAGCAGACCTCTCCTGTCTCTCCCTCTGCTCCCCTCAGCAGTGTGTTTCAATAGATCCACCTGTTCTGATCCTTACTATGTCTCTGGTGAATCCTCTCACCCCCTGCACCTCTGGCCTGTACCCCAGTTCTTGTATGCATATATAAATCTTTAAAAGATAATGGAAATCATATTTCCATGAAATTCAAGAGCTGTTAAAACTAATCTGTGGTGACAGAAGTCAGGATAGTGACTACCCCAGTGAGAATTGATCAGGAGGGCGCACAAGGAGGGCCTCCGGGTGCTGGGACTTTGTTATATCTAGTTCTGAATGGTAGTCACATGGGTGAATACTTATGTAAAAATTGACTAAATCTTACACTTAAGATTTGTGCACTTATTTGCATGCATGTTAAACCTCAACAAAAACTTCCAAAATGTAGTCAGCTGCATAAATGGTAGAGCACACTCTGCTTAGTGAAATGAGAGCCACTATGAAATTTCAGCAATATAGGAATAGAAAGCTAAGACCTTTGGTTGCCATTAGTATCCCACGGTTACAAGAAACCGGTGCCTTCTGTCAGAACAGCAATTCAGCACCAAGGACAGGGGCACACCTAGGCCCCACTCCCCATTTTAGATGGAGTGTGCCCGACTATCCTGTCAGCTAATATTCAGCATTCTCCTGTGTACTTGTGTATTCCTGCACTGAGCACCCTATTTCTCTTTAAATGACTGCTTAAAACCCAATGGGTTCAAAAACTTGTTTTAATTTTAATTTGATATTATTTTTAAGTATTTATCAAATGAACAGGAAGCAGACATAAAGAATAACATTGTATTTTCCTGCAGGTATACTTTCTATGTCTTTTGTTTTTGAAAACTTCATGAGCTTTTACATCAATTTGCCAAAAATCCTTTATTCAAAATTTGCTTTAAAAAATGGGAAGAAAATCAGGCACTGTTTCTCATTCTTGTAAAATGCACATGGCCTTTGAGTAGCAATTCCATATTAACAAATTTCTTCTGCAGATGGGGTCACATATGTGTAAAGATAAGGAAATTCATTTAAGCAATGCAGACAGGGATAGGCGGGGTAGATTCTTTTCTATTCCCTTATTGATATTCTTTAAATATTTTAAGCAATATATATATATTCTGTTCTAAAAATAAAAAATAAAGTTAAAATTTAATTTTCAGGCTATATATCAGAACTTGCAAGAAAAAAAAAAAGACAAAACAGGTTCAACTTTAGGTGATGGAGTCCCTTTTTTATTCCCTTTTTTGATATTCTTTAAATATTTTAAGCTATATATATATATATATTCTGTTCTAAAAATTAAAACAAAAAAATTAAAATTTAATTTTCAGGCTATATATCAGAACTTGCAAAAAAAAAAAAAAAAGACAAAACAAGTTCAACTTTAGGTGATGGAGTCCCTGAAAGTGAATATGCACAGGGCCAACCCATGGAAGGGGCTTGGTTTTAGGTGGGCTTATTTTTATTTTGAGGGGAGGAGGGTTAAGGTCAAACCAGTCCCCTGTTCATATTCCATTTCCTGCCCCAGGTTTCTGAGCTGAAAACCCCGGCATCGGGCAACAATGTTACCTGCTTGTAATCCTTCCAGTTCCGCTGAAAATTCACACTGCCATTCTCACGGCGCTGGATGAGGGTCCACCCACCTCCATTGGCCTCCATGTCACAGAAAACCTGGAGGAAATTGGGGGAGGGGAGTGTTGGAAGACTTGGAGGCAGCCAGAAGCTAGGTCTGGGCTGGCCCAAGTGTGATTTGTGAGTGTGGTAAGCCTGGTGGTTAAGGATCAGAGAGATCCATGTTCACATTCCCACCCATTGTCATCACTTTTCTCAAGTAGGGGGCAAGTGAAGCTCTCTTAGGGCCTTCCTTTCCTCATTTGCAAAAACGGATATTAACACTTTAACCTCGTTGTGCTTAGGTGTCTCTCCTAGAAACAGGAGTTGTGAGTATTAAATGAGGGGAATCATCTAAAGAACAGAGCCTGCTACATACTCAGAACTCAGTATATAGAGGCTTTTCATTCACTGTAACTGCAAGGTTGCTGTAGGATCAAATATCCATAGATTTACAGTGCTTGGCACACAACATAGACTCAGGAAATGGTATTATGTTTTGTGGACAAATGTGTTCCAAACACCTGCTATGTGCTGAAGGCACTGGGATGCCACCATGGAGAAGATAGGAAAGGTTCTTCCTTTCAAAGAACTAACCATTTACCACAATCACATCTTTCAGTGTAATTTTTAGTTTCCCTGCCAGGGCAATACATGTTCAGTGTTCAACAAGGACAAACTTGGTCTCTGGCCTTGCACTAAATGGATGAGAGGCAAATCAGAGCTAAACTGACCCCCAGGACTGGCATGGTCTGAAGAAGGGTGTGATAGGGCGGGCAGGTTGTGATTGTGAGCACTTGGGTAATTACAAGGAAAGCCCCAGAGAAGGACCCTTAGAATGGGTGCACTGGAAGAAAACCTTGGATGATGACACGTCTGCCAGGGAGAGACCAGTGGGTATGGCATTGCCAGGGACTTTGGCTGCAGGAATAGAGGCTCTGAGATGATAAAGGTCTGCTCAGAGAGAGAAAACAGTGGTATCTGGTGGGGGTGGCAGAGAGGGCAGGAAGGGCAACTGAAGCCTAGAGAGCAGGATGGATTTGGCCAAGTCAAGTCAGTTAAAAGGACAGCTGAGGTTTGAGTGCAGATCTATTGCATCCAAAGCCAGTTTCCCTCTCTATGAGGGTTTTTGAATGTCAGCCATTCACAGCTGCCTGAGTGCCTGCGTTTACTTAATTTCATATAGAACATTCACTTAAATAATGATGTCCTTGGGGCCTCCCTGGTGGCGCAAGGGGTTAAGCACCGCACTATGAAGCAATCCGCAGCCTCTGCAGCATGAATTCCATCCCCCACGGGCCAGCGAGCAACCCACATGGTGAGGCAGACCTCTCCTGTCTCACCCTCTGCTCCCCTCAGCAGTGTATTTCAGTAGGTCAGCCTGTTCTGTTCCCCACTCTGTCTCTGGTGAATCCTCTCACCCCCACACCTCTGGCCTGTACCCCAGCTCTTGTATACATAAAGAAAGAAAGAAAGAAAAGAAAGGAAAGAAAAAGAAAAGGGAATTATGAAGTGGGAAGATTGGCCAGTTATTCCCCAGACTCTGCCACATCAGGGCCTGACTGCCCAAAGCTCCCTTTTGATGCCCATACTTTCCCTCGACCCCCTCCCCATCTGGTGTCTGGACCTCAAAGCTCAGGGCAACCTTGGGAGCCATTCCTTGAAGGTGGTGGGATCTCTACCAGCCTGGTCCCTAATTTCCCACATGGAGCAGAGCCCCCACAGCTGCCTTCGACAGGACTACATGTATACTAGAATAAACTTCCTTGCATGAAGTCCCTGGAAGCTCAGGGTTTATCTGTTATGTCAGTTAGCATTACCTCAACCAGCACAGAACTATTTCCTACCATTCCAGCTCAAAGCTTTCTGGAGAAGATGCAGAGGAAAAGCACTTCCAACTTTCTGCTTTAACCCCATCATCTGATCCCTGATGGGTGGGCGGGGGGGCTCCAGAAGGGAGGGCCATCCCATCTTCTGTGGTATCTCAGATGCAGTACCAGGCCCGAAGCTGATGGAGGTGGGTCTGTCTGAGAGGCCCCTGGCTCCCTCCCCAGGAAACCCCCTGACCTTCCTGGGCTCGGTCATATTGGCCACATGGATGATGTAGACACCACTGGCATTGGCCCCGATGCGCTGGATTTCCGCACAGTCCTGGAACACCTGGTCAGCTGCCCTCACGGAAGCTGCAATGGGACAAAGCAAAAACAATTGGAAGTGAGCTAAGAGAGGAAAGGGGCCAGGTCCTGCTGTGGGCCAGGTCCTGGAGTGGAGGTGCTGGGGACAAGGAGCTGAATCAGACCTGGGAAGGTTTCCTAGAGGAGGTGGCAGTGATCTGGAACATGGAATAGGATCAGAAGTCACTCAGCTGGAGAAGGGGAGGGTGTTCCGGCAGAGAGAACAGCATATACAAAGGGTCCAAGGTAGGAACCATCTGGGGTATGCAAGAAAGGGGGTGCAGTGAGGGGAAATGACTGTGCCTGCGGCCCACACCACAGGGGCAGAGCTCAGGCCAGAGAGCTCTGGCTTTGATGACTTGAGAAGAGTGGGGCAGGGCTGGCAGGATGGGGTCACCAAGGAGGGAGCAATGAGGCTGGATTTCAGTGGGGTGAGACTTCCTGTTTTGGTCCCACCCTTCAATCTGGACCCTGGGTCCTGGATCTGGACTTCTGTTGGAAGGAGGCTCCTTGTTCCCATTGGAACCTGTGCACAAACTCCAGGGTCAGAGTCTCCACAGTCCCTGGTCCCTGGGGAACTGCTGTCCAGCCAGGCGAGGGTGGAGTGGTAAGGGGGTAGGGGTGGAGGGGCTGGGTTGGGAGATGCTGGACTGGGAAGCAGCAGGAACAACCCAACTTACCCTGTGCGTGAGGGCAGAGCTGGGAGCTGGCCTCAGATGCCAGCCACCCTTTCAAGACTCCCTCGTTAACACCAGTAGTGATAACAACTATAATAAACAGCAAAAGTGAAAAAACCACCACATATTGTAGTGTTTCTTAGCCAGGTACTACAAGGGGCAATTGGGGGCCGGGAAAATATTTTCTGGAGGGATTAGAGTTAGGATGGACTCTCACAGTTTGGTCCCGATCTGCCCTGCCCTCCCTTCTCCCTGAAACCATACCAGCTTCATCCCCTTTAACCCTAAGCACTGAGTTCAGTCCCTTTGTGTGCATGACTATCTGCAAGAGCTCTCCGAGATAGGCACTATGATTATTCCCATTTTATAGGCGAGGAAAATTGAGGCTCTGAGACATTAAATGACTTGGGCAGGTCCCAGGGAAGCAGCCAGAGCGTGGACCCTGGTGCATCCGCTGCAGAGCCAGCGCCCTTCTTCCTGCTCCCCTCCCTGGGGGTTTCCGAGCCAGAGCAGACCTAGCTAGCAGACCTTACAATGAGCGCCTCCGCTGATGCTGTTCCTGGGTCAGGATTTTCCTACCCATGACCCCCTCCATCCAACCACGTGTGCGCTCTGAGTTCTCCCCACCTGACCAGCCTTCACCTGCCCAGGACAAAGTCATACAGAGAGGGTGCAGGCTGCCTGCTAGGATGCCTGGTTCCTGTGCCTCCTCTGTCCACACCTCTGTTCTACACCTGGTGACTAATCTAGTTTTTCTACCAAGGTAGGGGCGAACTCTCTAGTGCCTTCCCTGGGGACAGTGGGGCAGGAGGACCTAGTGCTTGGGCAAAGGGTGCCCAAGGTGAGGGACCTCCCACCCAGACAGATGCTCAGATATTTTGGCCACAGCTGGAGACTGGGTTAGCGGTGAGGAGAGGCATGGAGCCCAGGCCCCATTCCTTGGACTGAGCTACAAGACACCCACACGTGGGATTCATTTCGGCAGCCTCACTGCCAGCACTCTGCACAAGCCGGCGATGGGTCAGGTCACCACATCTCCTGGCATGGAAGGTCTCTCCCTGTCCCGCCAGCGGCTTCCTTGGGGCCTCAAGCCCCTACCCTGGAGGGCTGCCTTCGATGGAGCCTCTGCCCCCCAAATCACTGCCAGCCACAGTGCCTGGAACTCATCACTATTGCTTGATTCCTTGTGCCCCAAAGGCTTTCCCACTCCCCCATGGAGAACCAGCACCGGTGGGAATGCTCCCCTTGACCTTTCTCGCTCATCAAATCAGTCTCCATCTCCGGGTTCCCATCAGGCTTCCTAAAACCTTGTCTCACCCTATTCAAAATCCTCCCATGCTCCCCTCCACGCTGCCCTCAGGTTAAAGTCCCTCCTCCTTAGCAGATTTTTGGCCTTTCATGGTTGGGAAATCTCAGGAACACAGCTAGCAGAGCACCTGGCACAGAGGCATCGCTACATCTTGCTCTTCCTCTCCTTCCCTCAGAGACCCGCAGACAGGGCGCTCAGCATTTTTGCAAGAGAAGGGGCCGTGGTGATATTGCTCGCTGCTGTGTCCCCAGCATCCTGCACTGGGGCTGGCACACAGTGGGTGTATTTGTTGACTGAGTGATTGGAACTGAAACCCAGGATGCCTTGGCTACCCGGAGGGGCCCCACCAGGAGTCAGCAAGGGCTGGGGAGCTGGCCTAGGCATTGTTCTCCTTTCTCAGAAACCAGGGCCAGAGATGCCTCCTCACCTCTGCTGGGTTCTCTTGGGCTTAGAAGCAGGCTTCTTGGGGCTCATTGGGTCCAAACTTTCTGTTCTTTAGATTGGGAAACTGATTCCACAGTGGGTGGGGCAAGCCTAAGCAAGTGGGAATGGAGGCTAGATCCTGGAGCCCAAATGTGCCAGTTTGGGTTGATGGTGTCTTTGTTATTACCACCATCATCACCTCCATTAAATAGATGGGAAAACTGAGCTCAAGTGAAGGACAAGGTCATGCCAAGGTCAGGGGTAAAAGTTATAAAGTCAAGGGTAAAAAGAGTCTGGGTTGGTTCCTCTGAGAACTTTTGCTGTGGACACCGTCATTTTTGTGGTTTGTCCTTCTTTCTATTTCACACGTGAAGGAGCCTTTCCCTAGGTGGCTTCCAGGCCCCAGCGTCAACTCGGAGGGAAAGTGGGGTCTCCCTCCCCTCACTTGCCCTCCTCCCACACCCAAGCGCACCCGCTTGCTCACCAGGGCCCTGGGCCATGACGCGCACCAGGCGCTGCACGGATTCCAGCAGCTGGCGCTGCTGGCGCTGCAGGAGGCTGGAGTTGCTGCTGGCAGCGCGCAGGCTGCGCTCGAGGCCGGCGAGGGCGCCGCTCTGGCGGCCCAGGAGGCGCCGCAGCCGCTCCTTCTCGCCGCGGAGGCTGGTCAGCTCCGCTTGCTGCTGCGTCTCCAGGGCGAGCACCCGCGTCTCCAGCGCGCTGAGGGGTGGGGACCACGGAGGTGAGGACGCACAGGGGTGAGCCCCATGTCTCCACCATGCATTCACTCTCGTGCGCTTTCTTATGGGTCCTGGGGTGATCGCGGTCAAGACAGGTAGAAACCTGCCCAGGCTTACAGTCTGAGGCTCTGTGCCCACCGATGGAATGGGGAGACGGGGGAAAAAGACTCGCCTTGGGTAAGGATGATTGGGGTCCAGTAGAGGAAGAAAATGGGGATGCGAAGGACATGCGGCAACCAGGAGGCCATTATCAAATCCCAAACATGCTTGCCCTTTGAGCAGTCCACACGCAGGAGGTAACCCCCAGGGAGGTGGGCAAGAATGCCCATTAGGAGACTGAGCATAATGGGGGTGGAGGGGAAGTCAGCCTAAATGCTCAGCCAAGATTGCCTGAGTCTGTTCTGTTTTGATGTCCCTGAAAATGTTCTGGAGCCACAGAGAGGAAGAAGGCGGTGTGCATTTGCACAGAATTGGTAAGATGCCCAGGACTTGGCGTGGAACAACCCTGGCACATCAGGGCCTCTAGTCTAACTCCACTGGTCAGAAGAGAAAAAAGAAAGAGAAGAAAAGTATTAATGTCCATATAGAAGGACACCGGTGAGCTCACAGGAAAGCTGTGGAAAGACAGGAGGAGGACACAGTGGTGTCTGTGCTTGTAGGGAAAGTGAAGGGAAATCCACTACGTGCTCTTGCTTCAAAGGCAGGATTTGAGTGGATGGAGATGGCAGGAGAAAGAGGGGGCAGGTGGAGGGACCAAATTCTCTTTCATTCCGTGTAGATCACTGTCGTCTGATGATATAACACACAGGAGGCATTTGGTAACGGGTTTAAAAAAAAGAAGAATTTAAAAAAGAAAGATGCTTTTGACTCAGCACTTCTGATTTGGTCATTTTAGCCTACAGATTTGCTCACAGGTGTGTGCCATGAGATTTGGGAATATTAGCGGTGGCATCACTGGCTGGAGTGTGAGAGACTGGAAACCACCTCACTGCCTGCTCCCCAGGGACTGGGGGGTGTAACTAGAGGGACAGCCACGCAGCCAGACTTCATATAGTTGGAGAAAAGAATAGTCAAGTGTGTCATGCAATTATAGAACCTTTTCCAGGGTAACTGAAAAAAACACAATCGAGGTGTAGAAGAGATGGAATGCTGCATTTGCGTTTTAAGAAAGCAAAAAGGGGCCTATACTTTCACGTTTGTTTGCACATCCGTGAGAAACCCTGGAGTATAAGTTATAGGATATCAGCTCCTCAAGGACATGGATTTTTGTCTGTTCATTTCTGTAACTCCAGTATTTACAATTATGTCTAACACATGGTAAGAGCTCAAAAAGTAAACGTTGCTTGAATGAATGTAAGAACACACAAGAAGTATGGAGCAGCAGTCTCTCTGCTGGGTGGCTGAGGGGGCGGGGTGGCAGGGAAACATTTTCCTGTATCTGAGGTTGTGCTGGCCCATTCTCCAGAGTAAAAAAAGAGGCCAGCCAGGGCAGAAGGAATTTCCCCTGGGTCCCCAAATATGGCACAGGCAGAGAGAATTTGGGCACACCTGGATTCTGGAGCCCTAGCTGTCTGTCTGGGCCCAGAACCTATTCATGACATACTCCATCTTCACTGGTTTCTAGGCATCTGCTGCCAATTTAGAGTGATTGACAGTGTCCCAGTCCTCGCTCTCCCACACCTTGGGGTAGGAGGACAGAATGAGTAGTGGGCACACTATCATTAACCGTGCACAGATGAGAGGGAGCTGGCCTGTCCTGGGGCCTTATCAGGACCCAGCAGGTGTAAAATAGCATTGCGCCCATACACAGGCCGCTAGTGGCTGCCTGGGCATTGCCTCTCCAGCTCCCTGACCTAGGCAGTTTTTTTCCTCTGCTCAGCTGGAAACTAAGATGAAATCAGCCTCAGACATCCGGGGTTTTTTTGGCCTTATCTGCTCCCCATGACTCTTTTTTTCCTTTGTAATTTAAAGGGTGTTCCCTGCATGCATGTTTGCTTATAAATGCAGAGACTCTGCTAGGGTAGACAAGAAACTGGGAACTATGGTTGCTTCTGGGGAGGGGAATTGTTGGGTGACATCAGATTTGTTAATTTTAAATAAATCAATTAAAATGTACAGGGTAAATTGTATGGTAAGTACTTTCTAGCTCAATAAAACTTTAAACATTTCTAAAATACATAAAGGAAGGAAGGGAGGGAAGGAGGGAGAGAGAAAAGGAAGAAAAAGGAAAAAGAGAAAGAATCAGGGTGTTCTGAGTACAAGGAAAATGCTTGTCCCTGCACCACCCAGTTCAGAGTAGCCAGGCTGTGATTCCTTGGCCCTCAGCCCAGCCCCAGCGTTCACCTTCTCTCCTGGCTTCCAGTGCAAGGCCCTAGATTCAAGCCAATTAGTTTTCTTGAGATAGGTGTTTCAATACAAGGTTTCTCCAGTGTCTCTGGCTGAAGAGACTGTAGAAGAGTTGGAATAATAACAGAAACCGGTGCCTAACATATCAGTGGCCCAATGCAATAAATATCTTTCTGTTCCTCAAGACTCAATCAAATCACTTATTCAGCATATGGATGACTTACTATGTCCTAATTATATTGAAGTCACTTTTTGTTGACTGGCCTGACCTGCCCCAGCCTTAGCACTAGTCCACATCCCCGAAATGATCCCTCACTTCAGTCCTAACCCAGGCCCTTAGATCTGGCCCCAGCCCGGTCCTGGCTCTGGTACTGACCCTGGGCCCCAAGCCCACTTGGAACCCAGCCTGGCCCTGGCCCCCAGACCCAGCCCTCACCCAGCCTGGTGCCAGGGTGCCAGTGCCCACCTGTTGCGGCCCTGCAGCTGGTGGAGCTCATGGCCCTGCAGGAGCAGCTGCTTCTCCAGCTTGTTGGTGGACAGTGAGGTCTCCAGCAGCTGGATCTCCATCCTTGATGTCTGGTTTAGAACCTGCCCCAGCAAGCAGGAGGAGGTGGGGGTTAAGCATGCCCTGCACATACCCTGCCCAGCAGCAACCCCCTACCCAAAGGCAGTGTCATTCCAGAAACGTGCTGACCTATTTCCTCCCTCCCAGTGGTTGGTTACTGTGGTCATTGTTTCATTCATTCATTCATTCATTCATTCATTGGTCTTAATTGAGTTTAGGATCTGCTTCTTAAATTTCTTCACTCTTGTCACTGCACATGGCGTTTCTTTTCTTCCTGCTGATCAGGCCCCAGGAAGAGTCATCCTTGACCTGCATATCCAGTCCATCAGCAAGTCCTGCCAACTCCACCTTCCAAATGGGTGCCTGTACCCACCCCTACCCCTATGGTCTAGTCTCTGCTCAGCAGCATTTTAAATGTCGCCCTTCTTTTCAAAATCTTCCTGTGCTGCCCACAGGACATTGTAAAAACCCCAGGCCTCTCCATGGCCCACAAGTCCTGCTGATTCAGTATGGCCCCATCGTCCCTCTAACCCTTTGCTGCCACCATCTCCTTAGGTCACCTCAGTTGCACTGGCTCCTGCATGTTCCTGGAGCTTGCCAGCACAGCCCCACCTGTGGGTCTTTGCACACGCTGTGGTTCCTGTCTGGGACACTGTCCCCGGGGCCCTGGCTCCATTCCTACCTTCTCAGTGTGCCTTCCTGGCCTCACTGTCGAAACTTGCAACTCATTCCCTGCTGCCACTCCCAGCACATACTCCTCATTGCTCCAGTATAATGTCCACGCTGCTTCTCCTTAGCACTCTCACCAGCTCACACACACACACGTGTTATTTATACTAGTTGTTTTCTTGGTGTTTATTAGAAAGGACGCTCTATGCCCATTTTATCTACAGCTATGAAGGTCAAACAGCACCTGTCATGTAATGGGGATTCAACAAAACCCGGGCCTCGTGTCATTCATCTCTTCATCCATTCATTTACTCACCTGTTCCCCCCACCCTCTTTGCTGCTCCCCGTGCCTCTTCTCTCAGACAGAATATTTTATTATCCATTTTCTCTGGTGTACAGTAAGGCCCCTGAGGGCGGGGGCAAATGTGCTGCTGCCCCCTCATTCCAGGGCCCAGCACATCCCTGGACACTAGAGTCACAGGCAGAAGAGCCAAATCTAGTGCCTTCCCTCAGGGGGCTCGTGGCCTGGTGGGAGGGTTTTGTAACAGCATCATGGTGGGGGCCTCAGGGGTTCCAGCCCCAGAGGAGGCCCTAAACTCAGCCAGGGACAAAGGTCAAGGCAAGACAACTTGGGCTGTGAGCCAGCCTTACTGGCCACCCTCTGCCCCCAAAGAGGCTCCACCTCCAGTGCCACCCGCTCACCCCTGGGTACCTGAGCCTCCACATCAGTCAGCTTTCGGGTCTGGGCGGTGGTCTGGTTCAAGAGGCTGGTGCCCAGCTCCAGCATGGTGGCTGTCTGGTTCTGGACCATGTCCTGCTGGGCCTGGGTCAGCTCTGACTTCAAGTTCATCTGGATGTATCTTTCTAGCTGTGGGGAGACCAAGGGCTGGGGTCATGGGTAGGGTCTAGAAGAAAGCTCCTGTCCTCTCCACGTGTGTTCAGGGAAGGACACAGAGCAAACAGGGGAGGCCTCCCTATACGCCAGGCCACCATTACTTCTCACCTGGACTTTTCCAGAAGTTTTCTCCCTGGCCTCTCTTGTCCCCTACATGGTCTACACAGTCCATCCTCCACTCGCCAGCCAAAGGGATCCTGTTAAACTTAAGTCAAATTATATTCGTCCTCTGCTCTAAACCCTCCCTGGGTTTTCATCACATTCAGAAGAAATGCCAAAATCCTCCCCGTGACTGTAGCCTGCTCCATGACCTAGCCTTTTGCCACCACCTGATTTCCTTCCTATTTCTTTCTCCTTTATCCCACTCCAGAAACCTGGCCTGTACGACACCTCTCCAACACAGCGAACATGTGGCTTCCCCAGGGCATTTGCACATGCTGTTTCCTCTGCCTGGAGCTCACCCCCTCCCCCATTCCCATCTGCATGGCTCACTTGCTACAGTCATTTCATGTTTCTTTCTAGTACTTATCACACTCTGACTTTATAGTGCTTATTTGTCTATTGTCAGTTTGATATAAATCAGGGACTTGGTCTTATTCACCACTTCATATCTAGCGCAATGCTTAGTGAACACTGGGTGCTCATCAGTATATGGTCAATGAATCGATGGAAAGAGGGGAGTGGTAAGGGTCAGAGCATAGCCCCCAATGTCATGCCCATCACCCAACTTCCTAGGGCTAAGCCACTCAGCAGATGGGGGGGCCCTATCTTCCTTCATACAATCTTGCAGATCCCTCTGCCAAAGTGAACTTTCTGCTTTATGGTTCTCTCTATTTGCCAAACAGGGCTGAACCAGCCAGCTTCCAAGGGCGCTCCCAGCTCTGATCCCATATGCTAACGTTCATTTCTTTGACAGGGCTGCTTTCTTTCCCAAGATCAGGAGAGCTGGTTTGGCTTGAGGCCAGGATCGAGTTGCAAAGGTGAACAGTGTGTTCTCAGGGCTCAGTGCCCATGGGCAGAGAGCTGGCGCTCCTCCTCCACTCCCTCTTCATTCTGGCCTTGCGCCACCTTCCCTACCCCTGGCCCGGGTTCCTTCTCACCCTCGTGCTCAGTCTTCCTGGAGGTCCAACAGGGCAGCTCCCAGGGTTCCTGGGAAGACTGATGCTCTCCAGGGGAGGTGGTGACCTTGGCAGGGGGGCCAGGCTCCAGCTGCTTCCTCCTTGTCTCTCTTCCCTCTTCCATTTCCACTGTCTGCTCCCATCCCTCTTTCCTTCCGCCCCTCCAAGTGCTTGTGAAGGAGCACACTCCATTGTAGTGCAATGTCAAATCCTGAAGGGGGCGCACATGGGCAGGACTGGGAGTGATTCTAGGCCTGGTGTGCTCCCGGTGTGCTCTCCAAGTGTGCTCCTTGGATCAATATCATCTGGGAACTTATAGGAAATGCAAATTTCTGGGTCCCACCCCAGATACCACCCCACCCCTAGAATAACGAACTCAGCAGTGTTGCCCAGCCCTGCAGGTGAACTTGAAGCTTCCTCCAATGTGAGAACATGGTGCAGAGGTCCCAAAGGGACCTGAGGGAAACAAGCACGTCCAGGTTTCTTAAGACCTTGGTGCCCTTGGCCCTGTCCCTCCTCCTTGCATTGTCCATTCCCCGACTCTCAGTCCCCTGTTGCACACACGTACTGTCTTTTAATAAAGACTGTCTTCTAAAAATTAGAGAACAATGTCCTTGATTCCTGCAGCCCCTTCCAGCAGCAGTTCCAATTTTTTTGCTCCCCTCAACAACAAATGAACAATTTTCTCAACTCCATACTTACCCTTATCTTTAAAAATATTATATTCTTACAGTTTATGTCACACTTACAATAAAGAATAATGTAATGAAATCTGTGTGTTTTACCAAGTTCAAAAAAATATGTAACCTGAGTCCTGTGCACTCCCAGGTCTGCTTCCCTAGCTCTTGGGAACCCCTCTGTACTTGAAACTGCCTCCTTGTCATCCTCCTTGAATTCAAGGGAGACATCTGTGTTATCATCTTCTCCAACTCAGCAGCCTTCAACCCAGAGAGCAACCTCCTTTTTCTGGAATCATCTCTCAGATGCACTTTCTCCTAGTTTTCCATGTACCCCTTGTACCTTCTGGCCACCCCCTCTCTGATGCCTCATCTTTCTGTACACGATCTCCTGAGGTTCAGGGTCCTTAATGTGGGACCCTTTAAGAACCCACAAAGTTCTGTGAAAAGAATTCAGGGATAATAAATTTGTGTAAGAAAAAAATTTACATCTTTTGTTCATGAACCCGTAATAAAAATTTGGCATTTCCTTCAATTATGAGCCCAGGCCACAAACCGGAGCACTATTAGTTAACCCTGCAACTTCGTTAGGATAGAAATAAAAAAAATATTTTCGTGTCACAACATAGTTACAGTATCTTCAAATGCTATTTTTACTTAAGATTTTAGAATAATGGATACTCAAACTCACCACTGGGTAACACTACAATTATAGTGCAGATTTAACTTTTAGTATTTTGATTTGATTGTGACATTATTAGGTATTCCTGTGCTTATATTTTATGCCTTTAAAAATATTATTCTGACAGGAGGATCCATAAGCTTCACCCAGCTGCTTCTGCCTCCAGATACCAAAGGGCTGAGGCCCCAAATGCATCAGAACCCCGTGGCAGGCGTTAGAGTTGGTCGTGGGGCTCCCACATCCCATGTGCTGATGGGGGCGTCTCCACCTCCCACCCAAACTTCCCCCGTGAATGTCCACCGATTTGCCATCTCCGTGCGGGTGTCCAGCAGGGGTTGCATGCCAAGCATCCAACATGGAACCCTGATTCCTCAGCTCCCACTGCCCCATCTCCGCATGCTCACCTCATTCTCCTCTGTTTTCCCCTCATTCAGTGGCCTCCTCCAGGTCTTAAACCCCCAACGCAGACCTCATCCTTGACTCTTTTCTATTCCCGCTGCGCTCAGTCCGCTAGTAAGTTCTCACTACTATGATCTCTCTCTGAGTTTCGAATCCGATCTTGTCCCTCCACCCTGAGCCAGTTACCCCCACCCCCTGGTCAGCCTCTCACCGTCCCCACCATGCCTCTATCGGTGCCCACCCCCACCTCCGCTGGGATTCTAATGTTGGCTGGCTGGGCTGCACCAGGGTGGACGGGGTAAGCAGAGCTACGCTGAGGCTGCGCTGGGACTTCTCCACGAGTCACAAAACTGAACCTGCTGAGATGCAGACTCCCAGACCTGACAGTAAAACCTGAGCTGCCCTAGGTGGTCCAGCAGCAAGTTCGTTTCTGCAGTGAGACCTTCTCTGCCATCTCTCCCAAGTCTCTCATTTGCAGATGGACAAGCTGAGGCCAAGGAGACTTGCCCATGGTCACTGCCTGGCAGTCTGGGTTCTGTGACTCTTAACGCAGGGGCTTCTTCAGCTCTGCAGAGTTAGGCTGAGGACTCTGGGTTACTTGGGGTCATCTCAAGTGATGTGAGCTACCTCACTGCCCTCATTGGTCCCTCACTTGTATGGCGGCTGCAAATGGTTGGGTGGGTGGGGCAGAGGCCACCCACAGCTGGGGCCCATCACCCAATTTGCCATACCCGCCCACCAGCATGGGCTCTGGGATGGATAATGTGGCCCAGATGGGCACAGTTGGGCCACGCTGTGATTCTGGTGACTAATGTCAGCATTTGTGGTGGTGGGGGTTGGGTCTGACCCAGCGGTATGGCCCAGACCTCAGGCAACAGCTGGAAGGGTGGGGTAAGGACAGCAATGGAGGAACTGACCCGGACGGGATCGCCACCCTCCCTCAACCTCCAGGATCAGACCTGCCCCTTCTCTGTCACCCTCATGGTGACAAATTCTCAGGTGAGACGCGTGCGGGCCTGACCCCCGCCACCCTCTATCCTGCAAAGGGCTGAATTTTGGCCCTCGGCTACCAGCCACTCCCCTTGGCTTTGGGTTTGAGGCCTGGCTCTTCTACCTTCTAGCTGTGGCTTCAGTTCTCTGAATCTCTTTACTAATCTGTGACACGGGGACAGTAAACCCTGCTCCTGTTGGGGACAGAGCATTTGAAAATGACAGTGAAAGAAAGGGAGTTTTGACAGGCAGGGGTTGGGGGTGGAGGGAGGAAGGGTGTTGGAGAGGTAAGAGATGGGTATCGATGGATGAACAGTCTTAGCAGAAGGAAATCTGCTTTCTCCAGCATTATTTATATAAACACACTTCAACAGGCGAGTGGATATGCAAACTGTGGCCCATCCGTGCATTGGACCCTACTCAGCAATAAAAGGGCCTGAACTTCTGATAATTGCAACAACATGGATGTATCTTAGAGGGCTCCTCGGCGGAGCCCCCAGTGGGTCTTCAACTGTTACAGGGCCAAGAGTGCAGGGCCTTTCCTGCCGGAAAGGGGCCTGGCAAGTCACAGGTGCTTCATGAATATTTGTTACATTGAATGAGTGAGGGGGTTGGACCCTGCCCTCACCCCTTGCCCTGTCCCCTGCCTTCCTGGAAGAATTGGCTTTGAAATGAAGGATGCCAGAAGGCTCTGTGGTCCAGCCATCAGGAAACAGAACAGCAAGAAAGGGAAGAACAGCCTTTATAGAAAAATTAAGCCCCAGCCCATGCTGGCTCATGACTTGCTGCTTCCCGCCTTTGTGCCTCCATTTCCCCCTCCGTAGATGGTGTGATAACAGTACCACTCTGTGGGGTTGAAGGGAGGGGAGTCCCCATGTTCATGGCCATACACTCACTCCTGCCTCCAGAAGTGCCAGGCACATTAAGAGGTGCGCAGTGATTATTTGCTGAGAGAGCAAATGGGTCAGTTCACGTAGGGGGCAATGGATTGCCATAAAATGATTTTTGGGCTCCTAAAAATTAGTTTGGCTCTGCTGATCCAGCCCAGCCATGGTTAGAGCCTGTGATGGGAGGTGAAGCCAAAGAGGAGGCCAGAAGGCCAGAGAG